TGCTGCTGTGACGGCTAGGCTAGGTTAGTACTGTGTGACTGACTGACCGTTACTGTGCTGTCTCTGCTCTCTCAGGGCAGGGACAAGAGGAGCTCTCAGTCAGGGGTCAGGGCACAATCATTCATTAGGAGAGGAAGAAAGAGGGGAGAGAGAATGAGAGAGGGGAGAAAGAGCGAATGAGAGGGGGGAGGGAGGGAAAAGAGAGGGGGGAGGGAGGGAAAAGAGAGAGGGGGAGGGAGGGAAAAGAGGGGGAGAGGGGGAAGGGAGAGAGCGAGAGAGAACAAGGGAGGGAGAGAGATCAATAGCCCTGAACAGTAACAGTGGTCCCCTGGGAATGGCCTGGTTTTAGAAACCCCAGGATCGTTTTTATCTCCCTCCTCAACTGGTTCCGTTTTCTGCACCACCTGTAACCCAAAACCCCCAGCGACAGACAGGGTTGCCAGAGTGAAGAAATCCTCCCTCCCCACCCCATCCCCCCCAGTGTGTATAGCTCCAGTCAATCCAGGTTAGGCTGCAGAGGCCTAAGGCGGGTAAAGCATTAACTAGGAGTGAGTGGGCTTAAACATTAACGTGTTGGTTGATTTCACATCGTTCATGGCTGAGAGAGCGTGGTTAAGTAACAGTTCTCACACAGCAACTGAACACACACAATGACTGACTGAACAGTAGGTACTAATCCATTTCTCAAACGCCAAACCAAATATCTCTCTCACTCTGTTTACCAGGAAACAGGGTCTTTTAGTAGAGAGAAAAACACGAGAGGGGGAGAGGAGAGATAGACAAACACGCAAGGAAAAAACATCCCTTGCTGCTGGAAGTTTCCACTTTGTTGGCATTTTTTCATCTATTTTTTATCTTCCTGGTCATCTGTTCCCGACACACACACACTGTGCAGAAAGACTTCCTGTTTTGCCTCCGTTGTCACGCGGCAGGGGGTGTTCAGGGGGTCCGTTGGTCAGGGCTAACTATAGATCCCCCCTCTGCTGGGCTTGGACCCATGGGAGGAGGGAATCCTTTAGGAGAGAGTCCCTGTCCTGTGTGAGGGGGAACTGGGGATGTCCTGTCCATCCATGTCCCCTTTGGTCCCCCACAACTCCACAAGTGTGCCATTTGGTTGTCTCAATGCAATACTGAGCAGAACGGATTCACACACTGATTACACAGGTTAGATAATAAACTGTATACTGCAGGTTACAAACTCAATACCCCCATTGACATGAACATCCAAGTAAACCTAATGAGATTTAGCTCCCTTGAGAAAGGACTACTGTTCAGCCCAACGTTACCAGACAGAAAGGCTATTCTTGACAGTGTTATTACCACAGGTACCGCCTAGCTTCCTCTCCTAGTCTTCAAATAATACATGTCGCCCACAATGGCAGCCATGGAGGAGGCTTCACCTTACATAAGAGTGAGGGCGGATGGCACACTTCCACCGCCTACTTCCTGTCTCCCGTGTTACTGGGTTTTTAGCGGCGCCGTCAAAAACACTGTCCACATGCAACGGATAAACAAACAAGCCGCGGACAGACAACGATCTACAACGTCTAACTTGAAAGAAATAGGTGCCGAGTGAGGGTAGATGTTACCCGCCAGACACGGGTGGTTCGAATATAGTTTCCCCAACAATAAGTCCAAAACCGGCATAGCAACAAGAGGAAAACATGGCTACCACTAGTATGCCAACGAAATCAGGGGGCAACGTTTTACCTGGTGGTGCGATTCTGAGTGGAGAAGAGTATAAGGAAGCGAAGACCGGAGCGAGGTAGCTAGTCGTCCAAGCTGCTTGCCAGCCAGCGAGTGTTGAGTCGACCAAGTCTGCTTACTTTCCTCCCCCCCCCCTCCGTCAAGTCTGCAACACTCTGCTCCAATAACCACTGGCCCACAGGAAGTAGACACAATGGACTGAAAATAACAGAGGCCACCTCCCCTCCACCCACCTCCTCCTATTCCCCTCTCTGCTACGACAGGCTGTTTCCACCGAGAGGAGAGGGCCTACACTAGGTAGGACAGAAAACACCCTCACCGTCCACCCCTCGCCAGGCTGTGGCCAAATGGAGTCAGGCACCTTAGTTCTCCTAATGTCTGACCTACAAGGCCTACTGACAACCTGTTGTCATATGTCATCATGCAAAGTTCACGACCCTTCTAACAGAGGGTCAAAAGACGATGATATACCTAAGTAGGGGCTTCACCACTACCCATGAAAGACAGGTTAACTTCTGACAGACACACTAAACCACAGTATGTAGATGAAGCTGATAGAACCAGAGACAGCACTAATCAGTACAGCATTCACACTACAGCAGCAGGCTGTGGGTGGTGGAGACGGCAGCTAGACAGACACATGACCAGATCTTCTCACTGCCCACTGAGGGTGAGTGTGTGTGCGTGCCTGTGTCATGTGGGTATGAGTGTGTGTGTGTGAATGCTAGGGCTGTGACGATGAAGGAATTTTGGGTATCATTTTAATTCTCATGCAAATGACAGTCATGATGGCAATATTTGTTTATTTTATTTTTGTGTGTGCTTTTAATGCATCTTCAAAAATTAGCTACGACATACTTTTTGGAAGCTTTTACTCCTGACCGCGTGGTTCTAAAATAATTGCCAATCTTACCCTCTTCATGGAAAATTATTAAAACTGTTAAAAGTTCAAATCCCACTCCTCCTAAAATGAATTTTTTTAAATGATTATGACAACAACAAAAAGATACATTTGTCCATAATTGTTGCTTACACAATTATACGATTATTGTACCAGCCATAGTGAATGCATGCATGTGTATGCATTTAACGGGGAATCCCTGGACGGTACACACACACACACACCTCTCCCTCCCTGAGTGTCTGAAGACAGTGACCAGCAGCAGACAGACCATCTCTAATCCGATCAGACAGCAGAGCTAACCCAGACTAAATCCCATTTACTGGCCTGGGCTGTGTTGATTCAACCATAATCCAATTCCTCTGCTCTCTATGACTAAGGAAGAGGAGGAAGAGGAAATGGGCCTGAAGTCGCACTGGCTATATTTAAAGATAAGGAAATGGAACGGACTCAATGGACACAGTCTCAGACTTGTGGTTTGTGGATGTGCATGATGTCACAAGGGACATGTTTTTGTCTCCTCACCAAACCACTAGAGTACACAGTGTACAAAACATTAGGAACGCCTTCCTAATATTGAGTTGCACCCCCTTTTGCCCTCAGAACAGCCTCAACTTGTCACGGCATGGACTCCACAAGGTGTCGAAAGCGTTCCACAGGGATGCTGGTCCATGTTGACTCCAATGCTTCCCACAGTTGTGTCAAGTCGGCTGGATGCCCTTTGGGTGGTGGACCAGTCTTGTTACGCACGGGAAACAGAGAGCGTGAAAAACCAAGCAGCGTTGCAGTTCTTGACACACTCACTTTTGTCTTGCCATTAACCCTCTGAATGGCAACCATGCAATCCATGTCTCAAGGCTTTAAAATCCTTCTTTAACCTGTCTCTTTCCCTTCATCTACACTGATTGAAGTGGATTTAACAAGTGACATCAATAAGGGATCATAGCTTTCACCTGGATTCACCTGGTCAGTCTATGTCATGGAAAGAGCAGGAGTTTTGTACACTCAGTGTATAATGAGTATTTAGAAATTATTTGGTAAAAAATATATACTGATCAACACGATTGCAATACTTGACCACCTATAATCAAACCCTCCTTATGAGGGCTAAAAGCTCTCTCACACTACTTATTTTGGAAATGTGACTGCTTCAACAAGTGAAACTAAAGTAAGCAGTGAGAAGCAGTTTATTTTAAATCGAGTTATACCACACCTGTTAGTGTCTCCTCCTACAAGTGCAGGTATATCCCTTTGATGATTCTAATCCTGGCATTTCTATTGTGACTCCAGTCACATGACGTGCCTGTGTGTGTGTGTGTTTCCTCTAAGAAGCTGTAAAGGTGTTGGGCCTGTTGAGGCATGTTGTTCAGACCGCAAGGAGACACACCTCCCCCTCTCCACCAGTCCCTAGGAACCCTGCTCACTGGCCCACATCGTCACACCGATACCGCCACGCCGATACCGCCGCCGTGCTTCACTTTCAGTTGAAGGGGATTGTCTGTGAGTGCGCGCATAGTGTGTGAGTGTGAGTGAGAGTGGAGCCACCATGCAACAGCGGAGGCAGCAGCATGAGAAGTCAAGGCCTTACGCAAGCAGCCCCAAAACAATGTCAGCAATTTCTCAAATAGTTTTTCAATATGTTTTTCGGCCCTTTTTACAGAGGACTGGGGTTGACTTGTGCATACTCAGGCCCAAGAGGCTTGTACACATGGGGGTGTGACTAAGTGTTCTGATGGGTGTGTTATGCGTTAGGTTCTGCATTGTTGGAAAGGACCCGTAAGTAAGCATTTCACTGTTAGTCTACACCTGTTGTTTACGAAGCATGTGACAAATCAAATTGTATTCGATTTTGTGTGCGCGCGTTCCTGACTGGGATGTATGTGTTCCTGACTGGGATGTGTGTGTTCCTGACTGGGATGTGTGTGTGTGCGGTGTGTGTCTGTCAGTGTGTCCCTGTGTGTGTTCATGCTTTCCTGAGAATTATGCGTTATGATGCTCCTCTCTTGTTAAACTCCTCTGCACACCACAGCTGAGAGCCTGCTGGGGGTTTCAGTTTGTTAATGGCGTAAGCACCGCTGTGTACATGGAAAGAATACCAACCATCCCACTTCCTACTCCTGAAGCAGTTCTCTGGAACTATGAGCAGTGGGCTATTGACGTGCTACTCCGTTAACACCGGTGGTGCTGCCTTCAGGAGCGCAACCGTTCATAACACTGCAGACGTGAGAAAGTAGGGACACAAATAGTAATATGCATGAGGTTAGCACTGTTTTACATGGAAAGATACATTATGCTTGGAAAAGGGATTTGTCAGCGTTGGCGCGCAACAGTTCACTGCAGATTGAAGACATTAAGGCACAACAACTAGGACTCTATTAGTATCCAATACACCTCATGGAGCAGTCTCTCTCGCTCTCTCTCTCAGAGCAAAGACACCTTGATGGACAGTGAGAAGACAGGAGTAGAGAACTGTGCGGATGTCTCTACTTTAAAACCACAGAGACAGACAGCATAACAGTTTGCTTACACTGCTGCCAGAGACCAGACCCTCTCCGGACTAACCAATCCAAAAGGGATTGTGTGTCTGTCTGTGTCTCCTCTCCAGTGATCCGTCAAGACCACCGCCCTCCCCTCCATGACCACAGCAACCCGCTCTCCTCCCTACTCCTATCCCACTCCACCAAACCACGACTAAATGTCTCCATCCCTCGATCTATCAATCTACACAACAGAGCCAGCCAGTCTCTCGTTCTCTTAATGGCATGAGCAGCAGCAGCACCAAACAAAGCAGCTGCCCAGCCTCAGGCCTTTTCTCCATCCATAACATTACTCTGACTGTTTACGCTAACAGGACAGAGGGTTTCCATGAACCCAGTGGACGTAAACTTTAATAATCTAAAATAATGAAAGCCAATGGCCCGTAGGCTATATAGAGCTTTACAGTGAGTCTGGTGTGTATGTTCCCATAGACAGAACAAGGCTAGTCTAAATGACAGCCTACTGTGTTACAGCAGCAATTTCCCACAAGCCACCGGAATGCACTAGATTACACTCTGCCATATAATAATGGACTGTTTTTTGTGTTGTAAATGACTGTTTTTACATTAGTCTTGTGACACAATTTTGTTGTTTACATTGGTTTGCGTCTGAGAGGAATTGTAGGGAAGTGAGAGTGAGGAGGCAAGCAAACACACTCTCGTGCGCACACACACAAAGTGCCAATAAGCCTGGTTGCCTAGTCTTCTCAATTACAGTTCCTTCAGAAAGTACTTTTACCCCTTGACTTATTCTACATTTTGTTGTGTTACAGCCTGAATTCAAAATTGATTAAATATTATTTTTTTCACACATATACAGAGAATACCACTTAATGACAGTCAAAAAAACTTGACATTTTTGCTAATGTATTGAAAATGAAATACCTCATTTACATAAGTACAGTGGGGGAAAAAAGTATTTAGTCAGCCACCAATTGTGCAAGTTCTCCCACTTAAAAAGATGAGAGAGGCCTGTAAATTTTCATCATAGGTACACGTCAACTATGACAGACAAAATGAGAAAAGAAAATCCAGAAAATCACATTGTAGGATTTTTAATGAATTTATTTGCAAATTATGGTGGAAAATAAGTATTTGGTCAATAACAAAAGTTTCTCAATACTTTGTTATATACCCTTTGTTGGCAATGACACAGGTCAAACGTTTTCTGTAAGTCTTCACAAGGTTCACACACACTGTTGCTGGTATTTTGGCCCATTCCTCCATGCAGATCTCCTCTAGAGCAGTGATGTTTTGGGGCTGTCGCTGGGCAACACGGACTTTCAACTCCCTCCAAAGATTTTCTATTGGGTTGAGATCTGGAGACTGGCTAGGCCACTCCAGGACCTTGAAATGCTTCTTACGAAGCCACTCCTTCGTTGCCCGGGCGGTGTGTTTGGGATCATTGTCATGCTGAAAGACCCAGCCACGTTTCATCTTCAATGCCCTTGCTGATGGAAGGAGGTTTTCACTCAAAATCTCACGATACATAGCCCCATTCATTCTTTCCTTTACACGGATCAGTCATCCTGGTCCCTTTGCAGAAAAACAGCCCCAAAGCATGATGTTTCCACCCCCATGCTTCACAGTAGGTATGGTGTTCTTTGGATGCAACTCAGCATTCTTTGTCCTCCAAACACGACGAATTGAGTTTTTACCAAAAAGTTCTATTTTGGTTTCATCTGACCATATTACATTCTCCCAATCCTCTTCTGGATCATCCAAATGCACTCTAGCAAACTTCAGACGGGCCTGGACATGTACTGGCTTAAGCAGGGGGACACGTCTGGCACTGCAGGATTTGAGTCCCTGGCGGCGTAGTGTGTTACTGATGGTAGGCTTTGTTACTTTGGTCCCAGCTCTCTGCAGGTCATTCACTAGGTCCCCCCGTGTGGTTCTGGGATTCTTGTGATCATTTTGACCCCACGGGGTGAGATCTTGCGTGGAGCCCCAGATCAAGGGAGATTGTCAGTGGTCTTGTATGTCTTCCATTTCCTAATAATTGCTCCGACAGTTGATTTCTTCAAACCAAGCTGCTTACCTATTGCAGATTCAGTCTTCCCAGCCTGGTGCAGGTCTACAATTTTGTTTCTGGTGTCCTTTGACAGCTCTTTGGTCTTGGCCATAGTGGAGTTTGGAGTGTGACTGTTTGAGGTTGTGGACAGGTGTCTTTTATACTGATAACAAGTTCAAACAGGTGCCATTAATACAGGTAACGAGTGGAGGACAGAGGAGCCTCTTAAAGAAGAAGTTACAAGTCTGTGAGAGCCAGAAATCTTGCTTGTTTGTAGGTGACCAAATACTTATTTTCCACCATAATTTGCAAATAAATTCATTAAAAATCCTACAATGTGATTTTCTGGATATTTTTTTCTCAATTTGTCTGTGATAGTTGACGTGTACCTATGATGAAAATTACAGGCCTCTCTCATCTTTTTAAGTGGGAGAACTTGCACAATTGGTGGCTGACTAAATACTTTTTTCCCCCACTGTATTCACACCAGAGTCAAAACTTTGTAGAACATTTTACATTTTAGTCATTTAGCAGACGCTCTTATCCAGAGCGACTTACAGTTAGTGAATACATGTTTTTTTTTTTTTTTTTATACTGGCCCCCCGTGGGAATTGAACCCACAACCCTGGCGTTGCAAACGCCATACTCTATCAACTGAGCTACATCCCTGCCGGCCATTCCTTCCCCTACCCTGGACGACGCTGGGCCAATTGTGCGCCGCCCATGAGTCTCCCGGTCGCGGCCGGCTGCGACAGAGCCTGGATTCGAACCAGGATCTCTAGTGGCACAGTTAGCACTGCGATGCAGTGCCTTAGACCACTGCGCCACTCAGGACACAAAAATAATAAGCCATTTAGCAGACGCTTTTATCCAAAGCGACTTACAGTCATGCGTGCATACATTTTTGTGTATGGGTGGTCCCGGGGATCGAACCCACTACCTTGGCGTTACAAGCGCCGTGCTCTACCAGCTGAGCTACAGAGGACCACGTTATGAAGCACCTTATGCATTGATTACAGCTGTGTGTCTTTCTGGGTAAGCCTCTAAGAGCTTTCCACACATGGATTGTACAACATTTGCCCATTATTATTTTCAAAATTCTTCAACCTCTGTCAAATTGGTTGTTGATCATTGCTAGACAACCATTTTCGGGTCTTGCCTTAGATTTTCAAGTGTATTTTATTCAAAAACTGTAACTCAAGAACATTCACTGTCTTCTTGGTAAGCAACTCCAGTGTAGATTTGGTCTTGTGCTTTAGGTTATTGTCCTGCTGAATGGGAGATTAACTCACCAGTGTCAAGTGGAAAGAAGACAACCAGGTTTTCCTCTAGGATTTTGCCTGTGTTTAGCTTCAATACGTTTTTATTTTTATCCTGAAAAACTCCAGTCCTTAACAAGTCCAAGAATACCCATAACATGATGCAGCCAACTCTATGCTTTAAAATATGGAGTGTGGTACTCAGTAATGTGTTGTATTTGCCCCAAACATAACACTTTGTATTCAGGACAAAAAGTTAATTGCTTAGCCTATTTTCTTGCAGTATTAATTTAGTGCCTTGCTGCAAACAGAATGCATGTTTTGGAATATTTTTATTCTGTACAGGCTTCCTTATGTTGTTGATCCATCCTCAGTTCTCTCCTATCACAGCCATTAAACTCTGTTACTGTTTAAAAGTCCCCATTGGTCTCATTGTGAGATCCCTGAACGATTTCCTTACTCTCCGGCAACAGCGTTAGGAAGGACGCCTATATCTTTGTAGTGACTTGGTGTATTGATACACCATCCAAAGTGTAATTAATAACTTCACCACGCTCAAAGGGATATTCGATGTCTGCTGTTTTTATTTTTACCAATACAGCGGCTTGCGAAAGTATTCACCCCCCTTTGGCATTTTTCCTATTTTGTTGCCTTACAACCTGAAATTAAAATAGATTTTTGGGGTGTTTGTATCATTTGATTTACACAACATGCCTACTACTTTGAAGATGGAAAAAAAAAAATTGTGTGTGAAACAAACAAGAAATAAGACAAAAAAACAACTTGAGCGTGCATAACTAATATATATATATATATATATATATATATATATATATATATATATATATATATATACACATATATATATATATATATATATATATATATATATATATATATATATATATATATATATATATATATATATATATATATATATATATATATATATATACATACATATACACACACTTCCTTTTTTTTTTTTTATATTTCCCTTTATTACTTTCCAACCCCCACCACCCCTTCCCTAATTGGAGTAAACTAGTGAACAACAATGCTTAGGCCTCTCCTTCCAGCTTATACATACTATATACATTTTATGGACACAGTCAATTTTACAATAATTCTATTTTGTTTGTTTTTACTCCTGAACTTCCTCTACGATCATTTTCGGTTTGCATCTATATGCCATATCTTCCACAAAAAGCTCTCAACCTATAACCTATATACTTATTATGGACACAGTATGCTTACATTATTAGTTACCTTGTTATTAGTTGTTGTTAGTCCCATCCTTCAACACCACCCATCTATCTCTTAACACCATCCATATTGGATTTCTATTTCCCATATATTTTTCAACTGTACTGTGATGTTTTACAAAAGTTCTGAACATTTCTATTCTCATTGTTTCTACAGATTGTAAATAAACATTTTTGCTAAAAGTATTATTATATTATTGATCGATTGACTATGACTTTTGAGATCACCCAGTAATGCTATCTGCAGGGTTAGCTCCAGGTAAATACACTGCTCAAAAAAATTAAGGGAACACTAAAATAACACATCCTAGATCTGAATGAATGAAATAATCTTATTAAATACTTTTCTCTTTACATAGTTGAATGTGCTGACAACAAAAATCACACAATAATTATCAATGGAAATCAAATGTATCAACCCATGGAGGTCTGGATTTGGAGTCACCCTCAAAATTAAAGTGGAAAACCACACTACAGGCTGATCCAACTTTGATGTAATGTCCTTAAAACAAGTCAAAATGAGGCTCAGTAGTGTGTGTGGCCTCCACGTGCCTGTATGACC